ACCCCTCCCTCTCTTATGTATGCCTGCCTTATGCATGGTACGTGATAAACCAGGATAAAAACAAGAGGTTGTTGGAACAATTCAACACGAAATGAGTGGTATATATTAATTGCTATCCTTAATGAAACTAGGAAAAGTAAAAAAAAAAAAAACAAGTTTGACATTGAAAACATTGGGAAAAAATATGCTAGACCTCAGTTTCAAGGAATTGAGTGATAAACCTGTTTCCTTTTTTTTCTGTGTTGTTTCTAAGACCCTGTTTACAAGCAGGGAGAGTAACCCTAGTGCTAGGGTTACCCTGGCAGGAGGGTTACCCTAACGCTCCCACATTTCTTCTTTTTTTCATCTAAGTGTTTACAAGGCAGTTAGGGTAACCCTAGCTGAGCACTAGGATTACCCTAGCTGCCTTGTAAACGCTCTGCTGGGGATGAGTTGCCAACTTGGGAAAACTTTTTACCTGTTTCCAGACCCTTTGAACATTGATAACGATGCCTGCGGTTACCAAGCATAGTTAAGTTGTCCCGGGTGGTAGGGTAACCCTACCTATGAAATTTTGCTTGTAAACCCGGGCTATCTTTGACCCACCTGCTAAGGTAACCCTAGCACAAGGGTTACCCTCCTTGCTTGTAAACAGGGCCTAAGGGATATCTATCATCTATCCTGCCAGTTTTTGGAACATGAAATTTGCTGTATTATGTAACACCAGGCAAAGGGAGTTGTGCCAAATTCAACCAAAAATGATTCACAGCCTTAAATTTTGCCTATCCAATTGCACGCCGCTCTGAAATATTCTTTACAAGTATAAGAGCATCGTTTCACTGTTCAGGCACCCCTCTGAAAACTGTGGGTGTTGTTAAACCGGAGTCCCCTCTGGGGGTAAAGGATTGGGATCCTTGAAATTGAATGATTGAACATTCCCGTTAGATTGGAACAATTGATCTAATTCCTGTCTCAGTACGTCTCCTCCAGATCCCGCTACAGTAATACGTCTGGACGAGCTTTTCCTGTAGTGAGAAAAGTCTCGTTTCGTAGTCGGCGATGATGACAATTCGTAGTTCGTGTTGAACAAATCGCTCGCCCTTCGAAGTTCGTGCGCGATCTTTATAGCATCTCGAGTCAGTGGCTCCGAATGTGATCGGGAGCGTCTTCCGTCAAGTTCCTCAGTTTGTAAATGGTGTATTCTCCTTTCTTCGATGAATTTGGGCACAGATTGTGTGTAGTGAATTGGCCGGTGAGAATTTGAACTTGATGGGGAGCCAAGTTCACCATGCGATTCTTCATCTGTAGAAGTCATTGAACTGTTTTGTTGCATTCGCTCAAACACCTCACACGATATGTCTCGTTCACGTTTGAAGTCAGCGCAGTCCAATTCTCCTTGTCTTCAGAGGAAAAAGTAAAATTCTTGAATTTGGGGCTAAATTCCCGTTCTCCTGCAACAAATTGTTTACAATTTTAAGAATAAATCATTCGAGCCTATATTACAATATTCGCTGATCGGGCAAACCCTTGTCGATTCGAATGTGGCACAATCAAGCGAATTATTCTACAACTTGTATTGAAAAAAACCTACCTCGAATTTAAAATTTCACTCTCATGTGATGAACTACGAGAATTCTATAGTTGTCCTTGACCGGTCTTGGACGCGAGTTTTGTCACGAAAATACACGTTCTTTCGGAATAGCCACTGTGAAAACTCAGGTTTATTTTTGTAGTTAGGGTGATGATGTCATTTAAACCAATCAAATCACGGCAGAAAACAATTGCAAACCACAAGCTTTGTTAGTTTGGGCAAAAAGCCAGCAATCATACTCTGACTGAGCGCTGATCGAGAGGAGAGGAACTCCCGCTTGGAAACATTTAGCGCATTAATGCCGAGACAGTATTGCTCGCTAATTTTATATCTTGTTTCCCTCTTAGCATGATGGTGACCTTGCGGCTTAAAAAATCGCCTCTCGTTACATCGTCATCTGGTACACTCGAAAAGTGACCAGCATCTAAATTATCCTGACATTGACAATGCTAAATCATTCGGTAGATCATAAGAATTAAGGGAATGATCACCAGCCTAGCCTAAGAAACTTTGACTGTTGAATTCTCCTTGAGAACTTTGTTATAATTTATCCTTGTCAGTCTTGGTTTTCACGTGACGTCATCAAAATTAAAAAAAAAAAAATTATCAATCTTTTTTCGATTCTATGTCAGTAAGCTGCTGAAGACTTAATTTTTTAAAATTTTTGCATTTGAATAGAGTTTCGCGTCTTGTGATAAAGCAAGGTTGAATTTCTACGCGTGACACAATCTCAAGATGGCGGTCGAGAATGCTATCACATAGGTTAAAAAAAGCGACCTATCTGCCGACAATTCGCAGTTAGAGCGGTCCTTCTGTGAGAATAGATACTCACATAGATGTTAATGAGCCCTCAGAAGATGACTTCAGGTCTTTTGAAACAAAACAAAACTTGACAAATGTTTTTGTTTGCTTAAACCACCACATTTGTGCCCCTCAGCTCAGAGGGACACAAACATGGCGTCTCCAAATTTGAGTAAATATTTATTCGAATATCTCCCGCACGAAACATCGCACCGACCTGAATCTTTGCGAGACTGTTTGAATGTTAATTTTCTTTTTTTTTTTATCTCTCTTACTCTTTATTTTACTCTTTGCATGCTTTTGATGGTGGTATGACAGTGAAAACCGGCAATCATTGCATGAGAAGAGCAATGGAGAACATGGATACACCCTTTACTGATGTTAGGATGGAAAGGGTTAAAAGCAAGAGATAATTAACTTTTTATAATCTCTTGAAATCCATTAGCATTTGTGAGGGACGTGTCCGCCCCATGTGGGATCTCTGGGCCGTGAACTCAATGAGTTTGGCCCGATGGAATATGGTTACGGTCGGCTTCATCCTTCGTGTACTGAAAGTATCTTCCGTAGAACCCAATACCCTTTAATTCTAAAAAAAAAAATCATCCTAAATGAATGTAAATTTAATTAAAAAGCTGGTAATCTCAAAGAAAAACATGACAAAGCGCAAATAGCAGAAAACCAACTCAAAAATCCCTCCTAACTGGAGACCGGCTTCTCACCCCGGTCCAGTGGGAGCGGCATTTTTGAGCAGACAAAATTAATATCAGCGGTTACCCAAATGAGAAAACAAGGCTTCCACCAAAATGGCGGTCTTTGATGTGATTCTGAACGATAAAATTACTGACCTAAAAGACTTACTTCAGGCCGATCCGAAATGTGCCAACTCTGTAGGGTGGCATGGTCTAACACCACTTCATCACGCTGCACTAAGAAATAAAGAAGAATTAGTAGATTTACTTCTGCAGTATGGAGCTGACATCGACCGACCAAACGCTTACAGGGAGACACCGCTACACCTCGCTTGTCAAGCTGCCTCTTTAAAACTTGTCCACAAGTTTCTAGAGATCGGTGCAGACTTGAGAGCTGAGGACAGTGCTGGGAGAACATGCATTCATCATGCTGCCAAAAGTGGATCTGTGTAAGTGTTTCTACAAAAATGTGGACCAGTGCCAGTCAATTACTGCATCGAAAAGCGGAAAATTATTTTTGTTGGGTTTGTTTGTTTGTATTTTGCTCTGAGCGCATTTGACAACCTGACTTTTTGTCGTCAGACGTGTTCGTTCTGTAGATCTTATCAAATTTCAATTTCTCGTGACTATTAATGGGTTGTGGAAATTAGTTAATGTTCAGTGATGAAATTTACTTAGAATTGATAATAAATTAGAGCTTTATTAAATTCGTCAGGAAAATGAACACTCGAATTGCCATGGACGTTTTCCTAAAAAGTAGTGTCGCCATTCGCATCAAAGAAATGTGTTTTCTTCGATTATACATCCTTCCAATACTAAGAAACTAATTGATACAATTAGATTTTTTCCGTGTAATTTTCTATTTTTTGCCACTTTTTTGTGTGCATTAGTTAGTACATGTCGTACGTGCTGTTGGTTAGTTAAATTGAAACGAAGCGGTTATTGTACATGTGGAGCCCTAGTAAATGGAAAATCAAGCCTTCTCCTGTTTTAAAGATCATCACGTCTGAAATGATTATCAATTTTGCAGCACTATTCTAAAAAGAGTTCTCTACATCTTCATACGTAGGTAATTATTTGCCCAAAATTTAATCAGCTGACCGAAGGCGGAAGGACGTTCGTAGTTACTACTTGCCAACTTTGGAACAGCTTAAGGTGGCTGAACACTGTTTTTGATACCTTTGTTTCTTTCCCCATTTGTCTAAAACCCTTGATCTTTCGGTCGCCAAAACTGGCAGCAAGCAAGTTAACAATACAAACTTTGTTTTTTCGATAGTTGGGCTGACGTATGTGCCGTTGCCATGGCAACATGAATAGATATAAACAGGCCATTAAAATTGGTTTTGTATTTTTGTAGAAAATCTAGTCATCAGATTTTCTTTATAATTTGCATGCAACAAGCTTGTAACAATACTCACAAGTTAACACCATTTTGCTAACAATTAATTTTACCTTGTGGAAGGTTCACTCGATTTTCTACAATTTTCTTTGTTTAAAATCTTTTTTTTCAGTACTCTAGTTACTTTTTTCCTAAAGTATTTTCATGCCAAATTTCATGAAGTTCTAATGAGTGGTTCTCAAGAAATAGGCATATTTCTGAGAAAGCAATAATTTTCCATTCAATCACAATTTTTTTGCTTACTTCGCATGTGCTGCATTTAACTGGATTCTTTCGGTA